TTTTTTTTTTTTTTTTTTTTTTTTTTTTTTTTTTTTTTTTTTTTTTTGAGAACGCTGTGAAATCCTTCCGTCTTCGAAACCAGATAGCAATCGTGGTCGTCTGACATCTCGTCACGAAAGATCTCGTCTTTTCTTCTCGAGACTTTTCTCTGTTTCAAACAAATTTGCACGTTGTCTCTCGGGAGACTGATCGTGGAACAAGCAGAAAGAATAAGTTTTTCACACATCGTTTATTAGAAAAATCACAATGACGTAACAGTGGTAGACATAAAACAAACGATGTCGTATTTACGTCATATTTCCAACGTTATCGCTACGACAGCTGTACAAGTAATTCTTCGTTAGATTTCAATTACACAAGTTACGTCGTGCACAAACCATAAGAAAATCGTTCCAGATATAAAAAAATATATACGTTTCGATAATCTCGTTTCTTTCAATAGATTTTGACAATGTTTTTCCACACGCTCTCTCTCACACACACGCGCGCACGCACACACACTGACTCACTCTCTCTCCCTCTCTCCCATACTTGTCTCTCGTCTTTGCTTTTCAGCGTCACTGATAAAATGTATACAAAAATAATCTACGAGTACAATTATTTTGTAAAATATACCTACCGCATTTCATTTAATATTATTTTTCTTCGTATCTCTAGAACCGCAAAGTAGAAAAGGACGTTTAGAAAAATTTCTGGTTCTTTCAACGATGGATTTGTTCCTCGCAAACGAGCGAAAATGACTTTCACAAATTCGCGACGACGAAGTGAAATCTATCACGGAGATGAAGTAAGTCTCGTAAAAACGTGTCTCCATATTTTCTTCCTTTCCCAGCGAGCTGTCGTTGGACAAAACGTTACAAAAGTCAATATTTCAAAAAATATACGTATAAAAAAAGGAAACGACGAAACGATTCGTACAGATATACCTCCTCCAGAATTATTACTAAAAATACTAATTTTCGATTACACGCGAGCACGTAACCGTACGTGCAACCGTTGAGCGGTACAACGCGCACACTTTGGTCTATGGCACGATTTCTTTGCCACTACTTTTTTGTAAATAATCTTTCGACACTTGCAAGACGTTCGCATACCGATTCCAAGCAGGAGAAACAAACTTTTTAACGGCATAATCTCTCGCTCTGTTCAAAGATTCCAAATTTAAAGATCGCGAAATATCGCAAGTAGTTTTCAAACTTGAACGGTGAAACTAGTTGGAACTCGTCGAAGGGTTAAAGCGATTTACCGAGTAGGATAAATTTACGCGCGTACAGACGCTTCATATCGAGAAATTGAATACATTTGCAAATACGTTCGTTTCAGGCAGTGCGACATCGGTACCGTTCTTTGAAACGCTACGTCGCTCTGCCGTCGAACGATATAGACGTATATGAAACACACGTG